GTTGGTACACATGTGAACCATTGCCGTAGTCAAAGGCACTACCACACTTTTGGCACTAATTGAGACCAGTGCACCCAATTGGTGGTGGGATTATGCACAAATCGAAACCTCACAATTGCTTCTCTGTTAGCATTTCGTTAAAAGTCGACGAGCTACCCCGGATATATCAATAAAGCAAGTAATTTCGCAGGTCGGTGCGCGAGCTGCCAAAAATAATTTTTAAGACTCAATTCTCAGTGCTTGCACTAATGTTCTTAGTAATCTACCTGAAGTGTTGCTTCAGCGCAACATGAAACAGAACGATGACATATGGATGCATTTTACCAGCGAAAAGCAGCCAGAGGACGATGCGGCGTTCTATGACAGTGTTGGGACTTTCAACTTCATAGATTTACCAGTTTGAATGGTGCGGAAGTGGAATCAGAAGACTTCCTATAGCGACGTAGTGTTTCACTAAAATCGAAGAAAATTTGTGAGGGCAGAAGCAGCCGGTGGGACTCGAACTGTCTACAGAGTGCGGCTTGCAATTCTTCTCAAGTGTGGTCCCAGCCGGACATTGGCTTTGTTCCACGAACGAGATATGGAAATTGGGGTCTCATCTAGTAAGGGGGCATGTGGTGCGACAGTTCATACTGCATGAAGTAATCCACTTTTTTCAGGGAGGGAAGCTCCGGGGTGGGTGTAAAAGTTTAAGCGAAATGGTTCACGCACCCCGGGGATTCCCTCCCCTTGCAAAAATTGGAATTTCTGTAGCCGGCAAGAACTGTCACACCACATGCCCCCTCACTGGATGAGACCCGATAATATGTATTTGTAATTGTTAGTTAAGTTGTCAATTCATATCCAGTGCATAGACCAAATGGCACTCAAAATGCCAATATGGTTCTGAATGGATGTGAGATGGGCATGCGTGGCGCATCCGGTAAATGAGCCTGATCAACGCATTGCTTATCTTTGATCCTTTTACTCAGGCCTCTACCTTGTTTTCCGTGCAAGTGTTCTAATCATTACAGCACCAAGGCCATATTTCATTTTTATTTAACTTTCAGTGGCATATTTACCATGTCTGCCTGGAATAAATAACATTATGAATCAGTTAGCTGACACTGAAATGGTGAAGTCATAAGCTCTGACAGATATTGCAACTTCGCTGGCACACGAACTCGTGGGTCCTATCAAGTTTTGTCAAGTGCTACTCCAGCACTTCACGAGACGAAAGTTGCTGCGAAAGCAGCGTAATTATGGCCGAAGCACGCCGGAAATCGAAACCGCAGCCCCGCTTTTTGGACAGCTTTGCCATTGGCCTGCAGGTCATGGTAGCATTTGTCATAAATATACACGATAAATATATCACAAAATGCGGTCAAAAATAGCAAAAGATAAAACCCTTCAAAAAT